CATGACATGCATTTGCCTGTCTTAACAAACCTGCACATGTACACCTGCCTGAACTATAAAAGTTAAAAATAAGCTGGGCATGGCGGCTCATGCCTGTAATCCTAGCACTTTGGGAGGCCAAGGCAGGCTAATTTCTTGAGCCCAGGAGTTTAGGACCAGCTGAGGCAACATGGCAAAACCCTATCTCTACAAAAAATACAAAAAGTTGCCTGGTGTGGTGGTGCATGCCTGTAGATCCAACAACTTGAGGGGCTGAGGCAGGGGGATTGCTTGGACCTGGGAGGTCAAGGCTACAGTGAGCAGTAAACCAAGACCACACCACTGCACTCTAGTCTGAGTGACAAAATGAGACCTTGTCTCAAAAAAAGAAAAAGTTTAATTTTTCAAAAGTTAAAAATAAATACATTTTAAAAAGAATGCCACCTTCCCAAAGCATCAGAAAAACAGACTTTACACTCCACATAAATTTATATTTTCTGTGTTTGCATCACTCATCAAATATTTATTGAATAACTATTAGGAACAAGATCTTGTTTCTGCATTAAAATTTTATTGACATGTTTATTCATTTTATTCCCAAGGACTAAGGTATTTTGTAATGCTGGTGCCCTTCAAACATTCTACCCTTTACTTAGATGAGTTGGCAGGATTAAAAGGTCTTCCTGTTAATAATTGACCTGAAAAAAATTATTTAAAACAGCGGCCACAGGAAAATCTCCAACATCCATTAATCACAAAATTAGTGCAGTGTGGTTCCACTCTGTATAATAAAATGATACATTGTTTTTCAATTGCAATTGACCCCAGGTTGCAAGTTATATAACCTGAGTGTGCCCAGGTGAACCAAGAAGGCAACCATGGGCAGAACCTAAGTGCTTGAACCAAGGAAAGGGGATAGAATTAAGAAGTAGATTCCACCTGATTTTGGTAAGAAAAAAAAAAAAAGAAGTAGACACCAGGCCAGGTACAGTAGCTCACACCTGTAATGCCAGTGCTTTGGGAGGCCGAAGTGTATTTCTTGAGGCCATGAATTTGAGACCAGCCTTAGCAACATAGCAAGACCCTATCTCAAATAAAAAGAAAAAAAAGTAAGGGACACTTCATAGCATGATCCACAATCTAATCAGATTTAACCCTGGCATCACCCCATGGCATGATCCAATCAGATTCTGCCTCCTGGCATTACTTCATTGCAAGATTCAATCGGATCATGCCTTGTTACCATCTTCAGACTCCATCTTGGAAGACAAATTTGAGCATCGCCTCCTATTTCCTCACCAGTCAATTTACAAAAAGCTTTGTCTTCTCAAAAGCTGGTACCATAGTATCGACTTCTATGCACATCAGGCAGCAAGCCCATTGCCTGCTAGGTAACAATGAGAACGTAGAAAAGCAGATTCAAATTGCTAATCTCTATTGAAAATATATTGTTTGTTTTTTTAATTCAACAAATGCTTTTTGACTGTTTTATACCAGACATAGTAATATGTATGTAAAGTAGTTCCTACAGAGATTACAAGACCGTGACATTTTATTTTTATTAAATATTTGAAGAATACAAAATATTATAGAGAATATTAATTATTACCCATACTTATGTATCTAACCCATAAAGTGATGAAATAATCTGTATGACAAAACTCCCTGACATGAGTTTACCTATATAACAAACCTGCATGTGTACCCCTGAACCTAAAAGTTTAAAAAAAAATAGGGCTGGCGTGGTGGCTCACACCTGTAGTCCCAGCACTTTGGGAAGCCAAGGCAGGAGGAGCCCTTGAGATCAGGAGTTCAAGACTCCATCTCTACTAAAAATACAAAAATTAGCCGGGTATTGTAGTGGTGGGTGTCTGTAGTCCCAGATCCTCAGAGGCTGAGGCAGAAGGATCACTTGAACAACCCAGGGGACAGAGGTTGCAGTGAGCTGAGATCACACTACTGCACTCCAGCCTGGGTGACTGAGTGAGACAAGAAAGAAAGGAAAGAAGGAAGGAAGGAAGGAAGGAAGGAGAAAGAAGGAAAGACAGAAAAGGAAAGAGGAAGGAGGGAGGGAGGAAGGAGGGAAGGAAGGAAGGAAGGAAAGAAGGGAGGGAAAGAAGGAGAGAGGGAGGGAAGGAGGGAGGGAGGGAGAGAGGGAAGGAAAGACAACATTACTTCAGTTGACATCTCCAATATACCTCCTCAATCCCCAAAGATAACTATTGTCAGCAATTTGGTATTTATCAGTCTTTCATTCTCATAAATATTTGGTACTTTTACTATATACATATATTGCCATAAACAATATGTAGCACTTTCTGCCAGTTTTAACTTTCTTTGGGAGGAGGGGGATGGAGTCTTGCTCTGTCACCCAGGCTGGAGTGCAGTGGCGTGATCTCAGCTCATTGCAACCTCCCCATCTCAGGTTCAAGGAATCCTCTTGCCTCAGCCTCCCAAGTAGCTGGGATTACAAGCACACCAGCATGCCCAGCTAATTTTTGTATTTTTTGGAGAGACGATGTTTCACCATGTTGGCCAGGCTGGTCTCCAACTCCTGACCACAAGTGATCCACCAGCCTAGGCCTCCCAAAGTGCTGGGATTACAGGGATGAGCCACCACACCCAGCCAAATGTTAACACTTTAAACAAAATGTCATACCACTATTCCCATGTTCTGCAACTTACTTTTCATTCATTATGTTATTAAACTTTACCACATTGATTACATGCAAATTAACCTCATTTATGTTAACCATAATATAAAAAGATAGATGGATGAATAGGATAGATAGATAATAGTTAGATGTAAACAGACCAAAGGACCAACCATCGCATGAGCATACAAGTTACCCATTCTCTCGTGAATGGGTATATACATTGTTTTCTATTTATTATGATTCAAAAAATGGAGCAATGAAGATTCATGTACAAATCTTCTGTGTACATGTATGGTATCTATAACCTGTATCTGAGATTGGAATTATTTGGTCATAGGTCAAACATGTTTCAAGTTTAAGAGAGATTTTCCAAATTGCCTACCAAAGTGGTTGTACAAATTCACAGTTGCCCCAGAAGTGTTTAAGCTGCCATTGGTTTACAACTTTATTAATGGTATTGGCTGACTTTTTTTTTTTTTTTGCCACTGTGAATAATGTAAAATTGCATTTCACTGTGGTTTTACTTTGCATTTACCTACTAGTGAAAATTAGCATATTTTTATGTTTATTGGCCATTCTTTCTGTTCCTCTGTTCACTTTTCTATGAAGATTTGTTTTGCTAATAAATGTATACAAATTCTATTTCTTTATTTAATTATATTTTGTTACTGTAGTTTTTATTTTGTTTTGTTTGAGTACTGGGGTACATGTGCTGAACATGCAGGTTTGTTACATGGGTATACATGTGCCATGGTGGTTTGCTGCACCTATCAACCGATCATCTAGATTTTAAGCCCCACATGCATTACGTATTTGTCCTAATGCTCTCCGTCTCCTTGCCCCCAACTCCCTGTCAGGCCCCAGTGTGTGATGTTCCCCTTCTTGTGTCCATATGTTCTCATTGTTCAACTCCCACTTATGAGTGAGAACATACGATGTTTGGTTTCCTGTTCCTGTGTTAGTTTGCTGAGGATGATGATTTCCAGCTTCATCCATGTCCCTGCAAAGGACATAAACTCATTCCTTCCCCCCAGCCTCCGAGATGGAGTCTTGCACTGTTGCCCAGGCTGGAGTGCAATGGCGCGATCTCGGCTCACTGCAACTTCTGCCTCCCAGTTCAAGCGATTCTTCTATCTCAGCCTCCAGAGTAGCTGGTATTACAAGTGCACACCACTTCACCCAGCTAATTTTTTGTATTTTTAGTAGAGACGGGGTTTCACCATGCTGGCCAGACTGATCTCAAACTCCTAACCTTGTGATCCACCCACCTCGGCCTCGCAAAGTGCTGAGATTACAGGCATGAGCCACTGCACCTGGCCTGAACTCATTCTCTTTTATGGCTGCATAGTATTCTGTGGTGTGTATGTGCCACATTTTCTTTATCCAGTCTATCATTGACAGGCATTTGGGTTGGTTCCAAGTCTTTACTATTGTAAACAGTGCAGCAATTAACATATGTGTGCATATGTCTTTATAGTAGAACCATTTATAATCCTTTAGGTATATACTCAATAATGGGATTGCTGGGTCAAATGGTATTTCTATTTCTAGATCCCTGAGGAATCTCCACACTGTCTTCCACAATGGTTGAACTAATTTACACTCCCACCAACAGTGTAAAAGCGTTCCTATTTCTCTACATTTTCTCCAATATCTGTTGTTTCCTGACTTTTTAATGATTGCCATTCTAACTGGCATGGGATGGTATCTCACTGTGATTTTCATTTGCATTTCTCTAATGACCAGTGATGATGAGCTTTTTTTAATATGTTTGTTGGCCACATAAATGTCTTCGCTTGAGATGTGTCTGTTCATATCCATCACCCAGTCTTTGATGGGGTTGTTTTTTTCTTGTCAATTTGTTTAAGTTCCTTGTAGATTCTGAATATTAGCCCTTTGTTAGATGGATAGATTGCAAAAATTTTCTCCCATTCTGTAGGTTTCCTGTTCACTCTGATGATAGTTTATTTTGCTGTGCAGAACCTCTTTACTTTAATTAGATCCCATTTGTCAATTTTGACTTTTGTTGTAATTGCTTTTGGTATTTTAGTTATGAAGTCTTTACCCATGCCTATGTCCTGATCGGTATTGCCTAGGTATTCTTTTTTTTTTTTTTTTTTTTTTTTTTTGAGACGGAGTTTCGCTCTTGTTACCCAGGCTGGAGTGCAATGGCGTGATCTCAGCTCACCACAACCTCCACCTCCTGGGTTCAGGCAATTCTCCTGCCTCAGCCTCCTGAGTAGCTGGGATTACAGACATGCGCCACCATGCTTAGCTAATTTTTTTTTTTTTTTGTATTTTTAGTAGAGATGGGGTTTCACCATGTTGACCAGGATGGTCTCAATCTCTTTTTTTTTTTAATGCTCCATCAGTTTTAATTTTAAAATACGATTGTCACATTGGGAAAATGAAATAAACACAGTAAAATAAACTGTACAAAGGCAAAGTAGAATAACAAAAAATATTTTACTAAAACATAAGATTTATAGAAGTTTCCAGACAAGCCATACAAAATGGTCACAAGCTTTTTTTGAAAGGGGGAATCTATACTTGACAGCAAAGTCACAATGTTATTAGTGAGGGCTGTGATGTTTGTTTAATGTTCCCATTTTGGTTCAAACAATCAAGCTTGTCGATCTACAGCGTCTAAATAAAGTTAGACTTGGCTAGAGAGCATATTCTAAATAACTGGTTAGCTGCTTTTAACCAATGCAATTAGATCACCATAAAAGGAGCCCATAAAATTAAAATAAAATTATCTCCCCCCTCAAAAAAATAAAGAAAAACACCCACACCCCTGCAGCTAACCTGACAATTACCTTCATTCACAGTGCTTTATACTTAAACCAGGATGGGGGAAATGAGTAAAAGCAGGAAGGGGCCGCTGCTTTTAAACCTTTCACAACAATCCAGATGATACTTCTAGCCTCTGCTCATGCTTTACGACAGTGAATCAGGACAAGACATAGATTTGCTAATGTGCATTTAATCACCAAAGGACTGAAGATGTCTGGGCTTTTTTATTCTGTAATGTTTCTAAGACTGTGTCCATTAAATGCAAACAAAAAGGAAGACGTCTTAGTAGAACAGAAGTGATGCACACTTGATGATCTGATCAGTTTAAATATTATTCATGGCATATAGCCTAGTCCATGCTCTAGCTGTTTCTATGGCTTGGGCTTCGTTGGTCTTCCACTGCTCCACTACATCATTTGCTAATGGATCATCTGGATTAGGAGCACTTAACAAGGCCTGGATCGATAGCAGAACTGTGCGGATCTGCAGTGCTGGGGACCACTTATCTTTCAAAATATCTAAACATATTCTTCCCAACTTGTCTACATTAGGTTGATAAATTTTGGTCATAAAACACACTTTAGGGGCTGCCATTGGGTACTCTTCTGGAAGGAATAGTTCAAGTTTAAAAGTCCCTCCCTCAAAGGGGGAATCCTGAGGGCCAGCAATGACCACATGAAAATAACGGGCATTGCTCTCATCTGGTTCTGCTTTGATGCCAGGAACTGGTTCTGCCAGCAAACGCTGGGTTTCCTTGATGATCCTGCGGGGCAGCCCGGCCATCTTGTCAGAACCCCGGTCTCAATCTCTTGACCTCGTGATCCACCCACCTCGGCCTCCCAAAGTGCTGGGATTACAGGCTTGAGCCACCGCGCCCGGCCTGCCTAGGTATTCTTTAGGGTTTTTATGGTTTTAGGTTTTACATTTAAGTCTTTAATCCATCTTTAGTTAATTTTTGTATAAGGTGTAAGGCAGAGGTCCAGTTTCTGTTTTCTGTTTATGGCTAGCCAGTTTTCCCAGCACCATTTATTAAATAGGGAATGCTTTCCCATTGTTTGTTTTTGTTATGTTTGTCGAAGATTAGATGGTTGTAGATGTGTCCTATTATTTCTGAGGACTCTATTCTGTTCCATTGGTCTGTATATGTTTTGGTACTACTAACATGCTGTTTTGGTTATTGTAGACTTGTAGTATAGTTTGAAGTCAGGTAGCGTGATAACTCCAGCTTTGCTCTTCTTGAGACAGTTATCTCTTGTTGCCAAGACTGGAGTGCAATGATACAATCTTGGCTCACTTCATCCTCTGCCCCCAAGGTTGAAGCAATTCTCTTGCCTCATCCTCCCAAGTAGCTGGGATTACAGGCATGTGCCACCATGTCCAGCTAACTTTTGTATTTACTAGAGACGGGGTTTCACCATGTTGCCCAGGCTGGTCTTGAACTCCTGACCTCAGATGATCCACCCACCTCAGCCTCCCAAAGTGCTGGGATTATAGGTGTGCATCACCACCCGCTGCCTACAAATTCTATTTCTTAACAATAAAACCTTGTGGTTATCTATGGTGCAAATATATTGCCCAGATGGTGGCTTGTCTTTTTGCTCTAAGTTAAGGGGTATTTTGATGTAGAGACAGAGTTTGCCATGTTGGCCAGGCTGGTCTCTTAGACCACACCTGGCCTAAGAAAACAAACTTTTAACTTAACAAAACAAACTTAAGTCATGCTACTATTTGAAGCCAGTTCTCCCACTTATGCCCCAAACTCAATCCTCTCTCAACCTTATTGCCATCATTTCAGCAATTCTCCAATCTCTCTCCTACATCATGACTTGTACTAAGTACCCTGCATAATAACTGAATAGATCTACTCATATGTCCATCTTTGTGAAGTTTTAGAACACCCGCAATAAAAGATAAAGAGTCCAAATAAAATAAACATTTATGTACTTATCTTCTAAATAAGGAGTCTAAAACCTTCCATAGAATAGGGACAAAAATGGCTCACACACAAAGGAATAAGAATCAAAATGTCATCAAGGTTCTTAATGGATACAAGAAAGTGAAGTAATGTCTTTAAAATCCTGAAAGAAAATTATTTTCAACCCTAGAAGTCCATACTCAGCCAATCTATTATAAGAACAGACTTTTTTTTTTTCTTTTTGAGATGGAGTCTTGCTCTGTCACTGCAATTTGGCTCACTGCAACATCTGCCTCCCAGGTTCAAGAGATCCTCCTGCCCCAGCCTCCTGAGTAGCTGGGATTAGAGGTATATACCACCAAGCCCAGCTAATTTTTGTATTTTTAGTAGAGATGGGGTTTTACCATGTTTGTCAGGCTGGTCTCCAACTCCTAACCTCAGGTGATCCACCCACCTCAGCCTTCCAAAGTGCTGGGATTACAGGCATGAGCCAAAATGCCCAGCCAACAGAGACCTTTTCAAACATGCAAAGACAGGCCGGGTATGGTGGCTCACACCTGTCTTTGGGAAGCCAAGGCAGGTGAATCACAAGATCGGGAGATTGAGACCATCCTAGCTAATACAGTGAAACCCCATCTCTACTGAAAATACAAAAAATTAGCTGGGCCTGGTGGCATGTGCCTGTAGTCCCAGCTACTAGGGAGCCTGAGACAGGAGAATCGCTTGAACCCGGGAGGCAGAGGTTGTGATGAGCCAAGATTGCGTCACTGTACTCCAGCCTGGCGACAGAGCAAGACTCCATCTCAAGAAAAAAAAAATGCAAAGACTTAGCTAGTAAGAATGAGTTCTGTCAAAATAAGGGAGAAAACCAAGAAACCACATGCTCCAGGAAACAGGATTTCAGATCACAGGAAAGAGGTATAGGGAAATCCTCAAAAAATAACTGAGTAGCAGAACCAGAGAACAATCAGCCTAACACAGAAACTGGAGGAGAAAGCTGTGAGAGGGAGATCTCCAGGGACAGGAGGGAGGAGATTGAAATAGACAGATAAGTCTATAATCTATTTAATTATTTACAGAACACTACTGGTAGTGACAGAGCTGAGAGAACAACCAAGAAAAAGTTAAGGTAAACAAAAACCTTTGCAAGCAAAAAGCAAGGCAATAATTAACTCCAAGAAAACCAAAAAAAGTTACTATAAAAGAAAAATACTTGATTAAATAGTTAATAATAGTCACATACTTAACTATATAAAATTTAACCAGAAATATGATAAAATTATATTCAAACTATGAGGATAAGGAAAATAGGGAGGAAAGTGATGTTTAAAAAAAGCTAAATTTGCATTTACCATAACAGAAAGTCAATAAAGAATAGCTAAAATTAATAAAGAGTAACAGCATATCATGTAGAAGTTCAGAGATAAATATCAGAAGAAATAGCTAAAAGTTGAGGCCATTTGGCTCTGATGAGCAGCAGTGAAGGATGAGGATAAGGGCAAGGGATTGCTCTTTTTCATTTTAAGCCTTTGAATATTAATTGAGTTTTTAGCTATATATGTATACATTATTTTGATTTAAATTTTAAAAAATAATTTCTTTTTAAAAAAGGAATAAACATATTAGGGGAAAATAGACTGCTGGCAAAAATTGAAGAGAAAGAAAAATCAAATGTTTATTAAAAGTAAATATTTACTTTTTTAATACAGACCCACTTCAAGTAAGGACAAACACACCAACGTATTCCTTAGTAATCTCTTCATGATAGATTATTACAGCATAGAGCAATTATTCATATACATAAAGAAATGGCATCAAAATAGGTTAAATTGTTTTCCATCTACTCTGTTTAATAAGGCAAGAATAAATGATTCACTTTGGAAATAGTCTCACCAAAAAAGGGTTAAAATAATAAAGATTCATCACCTAAAGAAATGGTAAACTTTGGATATCTGAAATATAAACAAGTTAGTCCTCTGATGATGCCAGATAAATGAATTTAGGAAAGAAAGCGCACTGTTACAAAAAGCCTAGGTTCTAAATCAGGATTACTGAAACACTAACAACTAATTTCATTTTTTTGTTTTCATTCCATGAAGCACAAAGCCAGTTTTCTTTAGACTGCCTGTGCTGGTTTGGGCCAAGATCTAGTCAAAATGTAGTCTGCCAGTGAGGTAGGTAAGTAAGATAGAGGGATGAAGTAAAATTTAGCATCCCAGCCAGCTGAATATCGAGTTCGTGGATGCACCGATGTCAGAGCATGTTCCATGCAGTCAGTAACCAGGTTCAGGTTTGTGCTACAAGTCAACAGCCCTTCCTTGATGATGTTGTAAACTGTATACGAAAAAAGAAATAGTGGTCAGCAATCTTATTCCTTATATTTTTTAGATCATGCAGTCACAGAAGTCTAACCACATCTAATTTCTACAAGATAGAATTATCTAGAACATGTTTCCCAGTATGATAGCCACCAGCCACATTTAGCTATTGCGCACTTAAACAATAGCTAGTGCACTAGCATGAAAATTAAATTTTGGATTTTATTTAATTTTAATTAAATTTTAAAACTCATTTTTTTTGTTGTTGTTTTTTGGGATTTTCTTTTTTTTCTTTTTTTTTTTTTTGAGACAAGATCTTGCTCTGTCACCCAGGTTGGACTACAGTGGTGCAATCTCAGCTCACTGCAACCTCTGCCTCCCAGACTCAAGTGATCCTGCCGCCTCAGCTTCCCACACAGCTGGGACTACAGGTGTGCATCACCATGTCCAGCTAATTTTGTTTATTTTTTGTAGACACGAGGTCTCGCTATGCTGCCCAGGCTGGTCTTAAATTCCTGGGTTCAAGCGATCCTCCCACCTCAGCCTCCCAAAGTGCTAGAATTATAGGTGTGAGGCACCATGCCTGGCCTTAAAACTCAATTCTGATAGTTGGATACAGTGGCTCATGCCTGTAATCCCAGCACTTTGGGAGGCCAAGGCAGGTGGATCACTCAAGGTCAGGAGTTTGAAGCCAGCGTGGCCAACATGGTGAAACCCCATGTCTACTAAAAATACGAAAATTAGGCATGGTGGTGCATGCCTGTAGACCTAGTTACTCAGGAGGCTGAGACAGGAGAATTGATTGAACCTGGGAAGCAGAGGTTGCAGTGAACCAAGATCATGCCACTGCATGCCAGCGTGGGTGACAGAGTGAGACTCTCTCTCAAAAAAAAAAAAGACTCAATTCTGTTACTAGAAGATTTTTAAATATATTTAGAACAATACAGATTTGAGAATCTACATTTTCAACTGAAAACTTTTTAACATTCTTGAGATATAATTCATATATCATAAAATTCAGCCATTTAAAGTGTACAGATCAATAATTTTTAGTATATTCAGAGTTATACAATCAGCATCCCAAAAAGAAACTCTGTGCCTATTAGAAGTCATTCTCATTTTTCACCACTGCTGCCACCTCCTCCTCTAGGTCTCCAGAATATATTCTTACAGGAAATTGACCAGTCCCACCCCGCTGAGGCTCCTATCACCTGAACATGAGAAGTATAGTCTCTGGGAATGGCCCATAGGGCCCTGCAAAGACTTGTCCTCACTGACTTACCTCTTCCCACCTGTCACTTTAAGACACAGAGTTTGTGGACAAAGCCCTTTGTTATCAAAAGGGTAAACAATGATGAAGACTGCACTTTAGTTGAGCAGACATCTCATACCAGCCCTGCCATGATACCAAGGGGCACCCCCTCTCAAGACCCAAAGTTCCATGCCCTCTAAGTATGTAATACCTCCTAGTGCTCAGGTGGCCAGGCCCATAGAGGACAGGGCAGGAAAGACCCTGGCCCCAGGCCATCTATATGTCCCCTTCCTCAACCATGACAGCCATCAGACTAAGTCAACCATGAGGGTGCTGGGACCTTTCTGATCTCCTTCTGTTCTGGCAAGGCTTTATTTAGGGAGCTTTGTTCTGAGAGGATCTGCCAATCATTGTCCACCAACCCTATTTTCCCCTTCTCATGCAAGGGTACTGATACAGTTTGGGTTTGTGTCCCCACCCAAATCTCATCTTGAATTATAATCCCACAATCCCCTTGTGTCTCGGGAGGGACCTGGTGGAAGGTACTGAATCATGGGGATGGTTCCCCTATGCTGTTCTTGTAATAGTGAGTTCGCACAAGATCTGGTGGTTTTATAAGGGGCTTTCTGCTTGCACTCATTCCCTCTCCTGCTATCCTGTGAAGAGGTGCCTTCTGCCATGATTGTGTTTCCCGAGGCCTCCCCGGCCACGCAGAACTGTGAGTCAATTAACCCTCTTTTCTTTATAAATTACCCAGTCTCATATTTCTTCATAGCAGCATGAGAATGGACCAATGCAGGGTACCCATTATCCCTATCAAAGGACAAAAGCTTACAGGCATCAAAATACTGCTGTCCATAAGCCTCCTTAATATGCTTGGGGGCTTTCTCCCAGCTTTGCTTCACTGCCTCTAAGGACTGTGTCAGGTTTGTCATTCCCGTTCTGAAGTAGCCAGGTTCAACTATGCTGATCTTCACCCCAAAATGTCGAAGCTCACGCCTGAAATAAAACACCACAAGTTATGATTAAAAACCACCGCCATTTCAATGCTCTCAGGAAGGAAAAGCAAAACAAAAAAGATTACAAGAATACCTTTACTGGAAAAGCCTGCACATCGTTGGCAGAGCGCACCGGCGGGAGCCCCGCTGGGCATTTTTCTGACTGGAATGATGGCTGCGGCTGGCTTCCGGGGGCCGGCGGGGGCTCCCGGGGTCCGCCGCCATCAGGGTTTCTGCCTGGCACAGACAGCAGGCCCTAGGCGGGATGCGCAAGGAAAGCCCTAGGTGTCAAGGCAGGGCCTGAAGCCCTGGGTCGAGGGGGCACGCCGCAGTCGCACGCAGGGGTTGCCCCGACGCGCCTCTAGGAGAAGCCTCGCGCCACCGCCACCGCTCGCGCCGCCGCGGGGCACCTTGGGACACAGCCCTGGTCCTTGGGGCTGTGCGGCTCACAGGACAGCGCAGATATGAGGCCAAATCCCATCCTCCAGTCCCAAGCCTCTCTACTACCAGGGCTGAGTGGCTTCGCTAGGTAGAGAGCCGGCCCCTTTAACAGCAAACGACTTGACACTTCTGCCAAACTCCCGCGAAGAAGAAGGGGAAGTTTGCAGTGCCTCCGCACCTCCCCGCAGGTACCTGGCGGAAACCAAACCGAGGGGTGCGGTGGCAAGGACAGGGTGCCTCGCAGGCTTGTGCAGGTCGGCCTTGGACCTGCACTGCCTCAGGGTGTAAAGGATGCCCGGGGTGGGCAGCGTGGGCCTGTGAGGCCCGTGGGTGCCCGCATCACTTGCAGCCGGCTCCGCAGGGGTCCGTTCCAGTTCCGGGTTCGGATTGGGGTGCGCGTTCTCGGGTGCTTATTGAGGCCGACAGGCCGGGGTTACTGCGTAACCACTGGAGCAGCTCTGGTGCTATGGAGGTAGCTGGGGCTGGTCCTGCCACAGGGTTGTGGTAGCACTGCCTGATGGTGTGAGACCAGATTCTAATCCTTATGGTTTTCCATGGGAATTGGTGATATGTGCAGCTCTTGCTGGATATTTTTGCTCTTCCCTTTTTTTGTGTGTGGAGAAGTTTTAGACTGGTTAGGAGTCAGCTTTATGTGGAAAGAGAGAAAAAAGCTTGCTGTAATGCTTTCTGGACTAATTGAAAAAACAATGTAAACTAATTAAAAATTTTAGCCTTGTTCAAAAAGAGTATGAAGGCCATGAAGTAGAGTCATCTTTAAAGGATCCCAGCTTTGAGAAAGAGGCAACAGAAGCACAAAGTTTGGAGGCAACCTGTGCAAAGCTGAACAGGTCCAATGTGGAACTTGAGGATAAAATCCTCTGTCTAGAAAGAGTTAAAAGAAGAGAAATAGAAACATTCTGAACAAGGTAAATTGATGGCAGATATTTCAAAAAGGATACAGTCTCTAGAAGATGAGTCAAAATCCCTCAAATCACAAGTAGCTGAAGCCAAAATGGTCTTCAAGATATTTCAAATGAAGAATGACTGAAGATAGCATAAAAGACGCTTTGAATGAAAATTCTCAACTTCAGAAAAGCCAGAAACAGCTTTTGCAGGAAGCTGAAGTGTGTGCAAAAAATAAGTGAGTGAACCTAATAAACAGAAAATAACATTTGAAGACTCCAAAGTACATGCAGCACAAGTTCTAAATGATAAAATCACATCAAGACTCTGACTGAACACTTGCTAAAGATGAAAGATTGGGCTGCTATGCTTGGAGAAGACATAACAGATGATAACTTGGAGTTAGAAATTAACAATGAATTGGAAAATGGTGCTTACTTAGGTAATCCTCCAAAAGGAGCTTTAAAGAAACTGATTCATGCTGCTAAGTTACATGCTTCTTTAAAAGCCTTAGAAGGAGAAAGGAACCAAATTTATATTAGTTATCTGAAGTTGATAAAACAAAGGAAGAGCTTAGAGAGCATATTAAAAATCTTCAGACTGAATGAGCATCTTTGCAGTCAGAAAACACATGTTTTGAAAGTGAGAATCAGAATCTTCAACAGAAATTTAAAGTAATGACTTAATTATATCAAGAAAATGAAATGAAACCCCACAGGAAATTAAGAATAGAGGAAAATTACCGGTTGGAGAAAGAAGAGAAATTTTCTAAAGTAGACAAAAAGATCAGCCATGCCACTGAAGAGCTGGAGACCTATAGAAAGCGAGCCAAAGATCTTGAAGAAGAATTGGAGAGAATTATCCATTCTTATCAAGGGCAGATTATTTCCCATGAGAAAAAAGCACATGGTAATTGGTTGGCAGCTCAGACTGCTGAAAGAAATGTCAATGATTTTAGGAAATAAAATGCTCACAAAAGACAAAAATTAACTGAAACAGGGTTTAAATTTGAACTTTTAGAAAAAGATCTTTATGCACTTGATGTTCCAAATATACCATTTGGCAGAGAGCATTCCCCATATGGTCCTTCACCATTGGGTCAGGCTTCAACTGAAAAGAGAGCTTTTCTCTCTCATCCAGCTCTGTTAGAGGGTCCACTCAGACTCTCACCTTTGCTTCTGGGGGAGGAGGAAGAGGCTCAAGAGGTCCAGGGAATGCTCTGGACCATAAGATTACCAATGAAAGAGAAGAATCAAGCTTTGATATGTTAACCGATTCTCATAAGTCTCCTTCGGACACTTGCTCCATTCAGAGGTTCATTGTTTCCAGTGGATACAAGGGGCCGGTTCATGGGAAGAGGACCTCCTTTGCCCCCACCTCTTCCAGGAACCATGTTTGGAGCTTCTCAAGATTATTTTCCACCAAGAGATTTCCCAGATCCACCACATGCTCCATTTGCAATGAGAAATGTCTATCCACCGAGGGATTTTCCTCCTTACCTTCCCCCAAGACCTGGATTTTTTCCTCCCACCCCTACATCTGAAGATAGAAGTGAGTTCCCTTCAGGGTTGATTCCACCTTCAAATGAGAACCACAGCAAGAAACCTGACAATATTTTTGCTCTCTTCAAAAGTAATTTTGATTGATCTCATTTGCAGTTTATGTAACTGCTGTTACTTAAATGATTACACTTTTGCTCAAATTGAAGTTTAATGGAATTATAATTCTCAGGATAGTATTTTGTAAATAAAGATTTAAATATGAATGAGTAAATTATTTCCATTTTATTTTATTATAGATAACTATTTTAATTTTATTAACTAATCCACTATTATATAAACAATAGTGGGAGTTTTATATATGTAACCATGCTGGTGGGGAGGCTTTAAATTCTAAAGGCTGTGTCTTTATGCCAAGAACTGTATTTACTGTGACTGTAGACACATGTGAAAGTAACTTTATGCTTAATTAAATAAATTTTAGTTGATTTAAAGACTTGTTTGGTATTGATAATGATAAAATCAGACCGTTTTTCCATTAAAAATACCTTTACTGAATATTAAAGGATAAAGAAATGGAGAGAAAAAAAATAAAATATAAACATCTCTGGATCCAACAACTAGGAAATGATTATACCAACTATCATAACCATTCAATTCTAGAATCACTCATTTAATAAAGACTTATTAAGTACCTACCATGTGCTAGACTCTGCAGGCATGATGGATACAAATGACAATAAATAAAATTAGCATTTATTATGACTGTCACTATGCTAAGTGTCTCACATACACAATCTCAGAAGATTAAGACTCAGTTCCTCATCTCAGAAAGGTGAGTCCAACACTGGCTGAGCCCAACAAAGTAGGCAAATAATTACAACACAACTCAAAAGAATTATGAAGTAGAGGCATTCAAGAGGCTATGAAAGTAGAAAGAAGGTACAGATAGATTTTCTGAGGGAGTCAGGGAAGGCGTCATTGAGGAGAAAAATATTTCAGTTGAGTCTTTTTTTTTTTTTTTGAGATGGAGTTTCACTCTTATTGCCCAGGCTAGAGTGCAATGGCGCCATCTCGGCCACTGTAACCTCCGCCTCCCAGGTTCAAGCGATACTCCTGCCTCATCCTCCTGAGATTACAGGCATGCACCACCACACCCATCTAATTTTGTATTTTTAGTAGAGACAGGGTTTCTCCATGTTGGTCAGGCTGGTCTCAAACTCCTGATCTCAGGTGATCCACCCACCTCGGCCTCCCAAAGTGCTGGGATTACAGGTATGAGCCACTAGGCCTGGCCTACATTTCAGTTGAGTCTTAAAGCAGGGATCCCCAACCCTGGGGTGCAGACCAGTACATCCACAGCCTGTTAGGGACTGGGTTACACAGCAGGAGGCGAGCAGTGAGTGAGCCAGCATTACTGCCTGAGCTCCACCTCCTGTCAGGTCAGTCAGACATTAGAGTCTCATAGGGCCATGAACCCTATTGTGAACTGTGCATGCGAGGGATCTAAGTTGCACACTCCCTGTAAGAATCCTGAGGTGGAACACTTTCATTCCGAAACCGTCTCTTTCTTCCCACCACCCCCACCCTGGAACGTGAAAAAACTGTCTTCCATAAAACAGGTCCCTGGTGCCAAAAATGTTGGGGACCATTATCTTAAAGGATAAAAGGAAATTTCCAAGTAAAGAAAAGGGAAGAATAACAAACCAGGCAATGGGAATTGCACATGCAAAAGCATGGGCCTGTGGAAAATTACAGTGTGTTCAGGCTACGAGATCACTCAGGAAACATGATGTGAGCATTAGAATGACAAATTCCAGGATATTCAAGTTAGTTCAACAAACAGTTCCAAAAATACTTATCAAGGGCTGACTATGGGCTAAGTACTATACTAAGTGCTGCCTACATCGAGTGAAGTAAGATGGCGTGTACCATGGCAGAGGTATACTCTAAGAGATCTAGGGACAGTGATGAGGAGTGTTCCCTAAACTATAGGTTCAGGCAGCCTTGCTGGAGAAGATGAAGCTCAAGCTGACAGCAAGAAGAAACGTTTGAAATAATGGTCCATAAGTAGGCAGACCACAAAGACTTATGACCTCTAAGCAGTGGTTCTCAAAGTGTGGACCCTGGATCAATGGCATCATCAGCATCTGGGAACATTTTAGAAATGCAATGTATGGGGCCCCAGTCTAGACTTACTAAATAAGAAACGCTAGGGGTGAGACTCAATAATCTGTTTTAACAAGCCTTCCAGGTGACTCTAAGGCGTGCTAGAGTTTAAGAATCATGCACTGTTCTAAGGGAAAAGCCTCACTTACCAAACCAAAACCTAAAATCTTCCATGTTAGAGCTTCAAAAAGTGTCTCCAGGTGCCCATATGTAATGGAGAAGAGAAAAGGGCTTTCAGCCAAAGGTGACTCTCCTTTAAATTTCAGTTCTCCTTGGAGTCTTCTCACTCTGATTCCTACCACCTCTCATCTCCATTCTCCTTTAACACTCTCAATGTAAATGTAGAACAAAACTTCCTTTCCCTGTTTATCCTGAGGACTGCTAGGGTGAAGTTGAATTTTCTAAAGGAACTACATAGTGGTTTGAATGTTGGAAGGATATATCTTTGATCTTAGTCTGGGAATGAGTCAAGGAGTCTGAGAGACCAGCCTTAGGTCGTGGTAAATCAGTGAGCAGCAGCCCTGTGGCAGTACACAGAACATCAGATAGGTGGGAAGCCAGGTGAGGTGCCTACCACATGGTAACAACTCATGGCTATTTCTGTTTTCTCCCTAGGCATATAACACTCACATTATAACACTTATATACCAGTCATGGCATGTGGTAGGCTAAACAATGGCTCCCAAAGAGATCAGGTCCTAATTCCTGTAAATGTTACCTTATGTGGCAAAGACTTTGTGGGTGTGATTAAGTTAAGACTCTTGCTATAGGGGGTTATCCTAGATTATCTGCATGGGCCCTAAATGCAATCACAAAGATCCTTGTAAGAGAAGCAGAAGTGGATCTGATGACTGACAGAAGAGGAAAAGGCAATGTGACCACAGTGGCAGAGACTGGAATGATGTAGCCACAGCCAAAGAATGCTGGCAGTGACCTGAAGCTGGAAAAGGCAAGAAATGGATTCTCCCATAGCGATTTCAGAAGGAATGTGGCCCTGTCAACACCTCAGTTTTGGCCCAGTGATACTGATTATGAACTGATTACAAAAAAAAGTGTTGTTTTAAAACACCATATACCGTAAACTACCTATGATAATTTATTACAGCAGTCATAGAAAGTCAATACATGCTGCCTTTAATATTCACAGCCCATTTCCAAGTGAAACTGTCCAAAAGTCGGCCCCTGCTAAAGAGGTGTGTAGATAGCAATATTTTGGACCATGTTACTACAGCCTCATGTCCACAGCTGATTGGACCAGGAAGGGGACTTGATAGAAGGAGAGCCCCTCATAAGGCTGAACAATGGTTCTGCCTGTGATTACCAATATGACTATGGACAAATTACTAAACCTCTGTGCCTCAGTTTCCTCAGATATACAATAAGAATATGTACAATAAGAATAAAAATAATGCCTTCTTCATGGGGTTAAATGATGTAATGGATGGAATGGATAGAAAGTACTTACAGCAGTGCCTTACCCATAATCATGCACAAAAATGTCACACAATGTGGTGTCACCTGGCACACACAAAAAAATGAACTCAGCCAATAGAATTCTCTCTCAAGAAGTATAATATAAGGAAAATAGACTGAATGCAGTGGTGCAGGACTGTAGTCCTAGCTACTCAGGAGGCTAAGGCAGGAGAACAGCTTGAGCCCAGGAGTTCAAGGTTGTAGTAAGCTATGATCATGCCTGTGAATAGCCACTGCACTCTTGCCCAGGGAATATAGTGAGACTCTGTCTCTTAAAAATAAATAAATAGGCTGGGCATGTTGGCTCATGCCTGTAATCCCAGCACTTTGGGAGGCCAAGGCAGGCAGATCATGAGGTCAGGAGTTTGAGACCAGCCTGGCCAACATAGTGAAACCCCATCTCTACTAAAAATACAAAAATTAGCTGGGCATGGTGGCACATGCCTGTAATCCCAGCTACTTGGGAGGCTGAAGCAGGAGAATAGCTTGAATCCAGGAGGCGGAGATTGCAGTGAGCCGAGATTGCATCACTACACTCCAGCCTGGGTGACAGTGTGAGACTCCATCTCAAAATAAATAAATAAATAAGCCAGGCACAGTGGCTCACACCTGTAATCCCAGCACTTTGGGAGGCCAAGCTGGGCTGATTACATGAGGTCAGGAGTTTGAGACCAGCCTGGCTGGCATGGTGAAACTCCATCTCTGCTAAAAATACAAAAATTAGCCAGGTGTGGTGGCACACGCCTGTGGTCCCAGCTACTTGGGAGGCTGAGGCACAAGAATCGCTTGAACCTGGGAGGCGGAGGTTGCAGTGGGCCAAGATCACATCACTGCACTCTAGCCTGGGTGACAGAGCAAGACTCTGTCTCAGAAAATAAATAAATACACACACATACACACACACATATATACAGGGGGGGCGGGTACTACAAAAAGACTAAAGCAGTTAGTGGAAGGACATGAAACCGAACCGATAGGCTTAGCCGGGCAGGGTGGCTCATGCCTGTAATCCCAGCACTTTTGGAGGCTGAGGCAGGAGTTTGAGACTAGCCTGGGCAACATAATGAGACTCCATCTCTACAAAGTACAAAAAATTCTCTGGGCATAGTGGCATGCACCCATGGTCCCAGCTACCAGGGAGGCTAAGGTGGGAGGATCGTTTGAGCCCAGGAGGTTGAGGCTGCAATGAACCATGATCACACAATTGCACTCCAGCCTGGGCAACAGAGTGAGACCCTGTCTCAAAAATAAAAAATAAATTTTGAGAATTAAAGTGTGGGCCGGGCGCGGTGGCTCAAGCCTGTAATCCCAGCACTTTGGGAGGCCGAGGCGCGTGGATCACGAGGTCAAGATATTGAGACCATCCTGGTCAACATGGTGAAACCGCGTCTCTACTAAAAATACAAAAAAAAAAAAAAAAAATTAGCTGGGCATGGTGGTGCGTGCCTGTAATCCCAGCTACTCAGGAGGCTGAGGCAGGAGAATTGCCTGAACCCAGGAGGCGGAGGTTGCGGTGAGCGGAGATCGCACCATTGCACTCCAGCCTGGGTAACAAGAGCGAAACTCCGTCTCAAAAAAAAAAAAAGAGAGAGAGAATTAAAGTGTGACATAGTAGTAGAAGACAAAGACCTGAGGACAAAACACAGTTCTGCCAAATTCTGGCTATGACAGGTGAATTTGGGAAAGAGAGGTAAATCTGAGCCTTTATTCTATATAAAATAGACTAGTAATAATATCTATGTATCAAGATTTGAGGACTGATAAAATAAGATAAGGTAGGTAAAAGCAACTAGCACAATGCCTAAGACATATTTCACTGCTCAATAGTTGTTTTTGTTTTAACTTAAG